CCTAGTTTGGCAAGACACTCCCCATCTCCTTCCTCCTTCTTCCCTCCCCCCTTCTCCAAGCTAACAGACTGGCTGGAGACTGTAATGTCCACTGTCAACTCTTTCCTATAAAAATCGGAAGCAGCAGTAAGAGAGAAGGAGCCAGCAGCTTTGAATGATATAAACTGCATGTGCTGGGGTCAGGAGTGTGTTTTCGAATTTGTACAGCCCTAGGCAACACAAAACAGAAAAAGCTGCCGTTGCCCCCCCCCCCCCCCCCAGTGGCTTTCTGCAGTCTCACAGCCACTCCCACGACTCCCTTCACTCCGCTCTGTCACCCAGCCCCAGTGCCCAGGAGAATCAGCACCCCACCTGAAAAACGCCGCCCAAGGCAATTACCTTGTTTGCCTCCTGGCAAATACACCCCTGGCTGGGGTAAGAAATTGTACAAATTGTTTGGGAAATATTTCAATTAAACTCAAAAATGCAGAGGGCTCAAGGGCTGTATTTTTGTTCTTCTTTGGTTTTATTGAATTTAAACAAATACAGAAATTGCAGGGATTCCAAAACAGATATATCATCAAGGAAAAGACAATAGAAAATTGTGCATCATCATAGCGTACATGAAGCAAGAGAATTATTTGATTTTATAAGCAAGTCACAGGTATGGATATAAGGGTAGGTCCCAGTAGGCCTAGGTGTGAACACATACACTGCTCAAATTAATTAAAGAAAAATTAAAGGAACACTTTTTAATCAGAGTATAGCATCAAGCCAATTAAACTCCTGGGATATTGAACTGGTCAGTTAAGTAGCAGAGGGGGTTGTTAATCAGTTTTAGCTGCTTTGGTGTTAATGAAATTAAGTACAGGTGCACTAGATGGGCAACAATCAGACGAGCTTCAAAACAAGAATGGTTTTACAGGTGGAGGCCACTGACATTTATCTCCCTACTCATCTTTTCTGACTGTTTTTCACTAGTTTTTCATTTGACTAGGGTCAGTGTCACTACTGGTAGCAAGAGGTGATACCTGGACCCTACAGAGGTTGCAGAGGCAGTCCAACGCCTCCGGGATGGCACAACAATACGTGCCATTGCCAAAAGGTTTGCTGTGTCTCCCAGCACAGTCTCCAAAGCATGGAGGAGATTCCAGGAGACATGCAGATACACTATGAGAGCTGGACAGGGCTGTAGAAGGTCCTTAACCCATCGGCAGGACCGGTATCTGCTCTTTTGTGCAAGGAGGAGCAGGATGAGCACTGCCAGAGCCCTACAAAATGACTTCCAGCAGGCCACTGGTGTGAATGTCTGTGACCAAATAATCAGAAACAGAGGGTGGCCTAAGGGTCCAATGTCCTCTAGTGGGCCCTGTGCTCACTGCCCAGCACCATAGAGCTCAATTGGCATTTGCCATTGAGCACCAGAATTGGCAGGTCCACCATTGGCACTCTGTGCTTTTCACAGATGTGTGCAGGTTCACCATGAGCACATGTAACAGACGTGAAAGGGTCTGGAGAAGCTGTGGAGAATATTATGCTGCCTGTAACATCGTTCAGCATGACCGTTTTGGTGGTGGGTCAGTGGTGGTCTGGGGAGGCATATCCATGGAGGGAAGCACAGACCTCTACAGGCTAGACAATGGCACCCTGACTGCCATTAGGTATTGGGATGAAATCCTTGGACCTATTGTGATGTGCAAGATTATGCAAGCAGCTCTTGGAGGATGAAGGAATTGATACCATTGAATAGCCCCCATGCTTGCATGACCTAAATCCAATAGAACACTCTGGGTTATCATGTTTCAGTCCATCTGATGCCGCCAGGTTGCACCTCAGCCTGTCCAGGAGCTCAGTGATGCCCTGGTCCAGATCTGGGAGGAAATTCCCCAGGACACCTTCTGTCGTCTCATTAGGAGCATGCCCCAACATTGTCAGGCATACAAGCACATGGGGGCCATACAAACTACTGAGTACCATTTTAAGTTGCTGCAATGAAATTTCATCAAAATGGACTAGCCTGTTACATCATTTTTTCACTTTGATTTTCGGGGTGTCTTTGATTTCAGACTTCTGTAGGCTGATCATTTTAATTTCCATCAATCGATGGGGCATCATTATGTTCCTAACCCATTACCCACTCCATATCAGTATAGATATCCAGCATGATATTGTTCCCCATTGAGATCTGATGTGTTTTCAAAGTGTTCCTTTACTTTTTTGAGCAGTGTGCATTTGTGACCGTTGTACAAAGAGTCGAACTCCCGCTGATTAGCCTCTAAATAAGCTAGCTAGGGACTTTATTTTTTGGTGAAATGATACTGTTGCTGCATATTATGAGATATCAGAAATGTATTTATGCAGACTTAAAAGCTACTAAAAGGATTCGTTTAAGAAAAAGGTCATCATCTGTTTTTCTGATGGCCTCTAGCTGCTCGCTGTCTTGTGTTCTGGTTCTTTCCTTTTATACAAGTATAAAACGCTAGATAGTCAGTTCATCTGGTAGTTTGTCTCCGGTAACACACCGATATCTAGCAATTTCTCCTACTCAGCAAACAGCCAACTGTATTTTTTTTTGGACAGGAAAACCAAGGTTGTAAATGTGTGAGAAGCCTTTGTGGTCTAGCAAATTGGTTTGAGCTTTCAGAGTTAGAGAGATAATTACAGTCTTACACTGCACATTGTGAAGTGTTTTATGACAATCATAAAAAGAATGGTGAGAGTATGTCATAATTTATAATACCTACCATGCATAGAAATTATTTATATGAAATAATCTTTCCACAACAGCCATATCTTCTAAACTAGGACAACTCCACTGGTGCAATTAAAGGAAAATAGAAAAGCATCCTCTTGCTTCAATATAATCATATTAATAGCAGCTTCCTTTGTCATCCCTATCGCTGTACCCCAGTAATAAAGTCCATCCAGCGATTAGAGGGATCTTGGAAGAAAAGGTGCTGTAGGAAAAATTAGGCTGCAGCTACACAGCTCCTTTATGATTGCCTATGTGAGTTGAAGACTGCACTCCCATGTTGAGATCTCTCGGAAAAATGTATTCTAATGACACCTGTCTTATCTTAGAGAGCAGCACTTAGCATTTTATTCAGAGCAGTGCTGAATTGAAACCAGTATCCCTCTGGGATGGAACACAGTTTATTTTAAATTCAACCACAAGCTGAAGGGCCTCACTGATGTGTGAGGATAGCCACCGTGGATCTTAGAAGCATGCCAATTATTTGGCGGGGGTTATAGAACTGGCTGATAGCAGTAAGAAATCAGTCAGGTTTTCCTTGACATCAGTTCATATGGAATAATTTTCATCTGAGGAAAATGCAGGGCTAAAAAAACTCAGTAACGTGTCAATGGTGCAGCAGCAGGTAGCAGAGTGTACAGGGTCCCTTTCTTGGGGGTCCCAGCTACATTGTTCTGGGATTCTTTTATATCCTCATAATGTAGCCCTACTCCTGGAGGAGCCACGAGTTATGTTTGGGTCCTCCTGCTCTGTTTCTTTGTATCTGGACCCAAATAACATTGACTGGAACTGTGGGAATGGGCTTTATTAATCAGACAAAAGCCCTGTAATGTAAATTTGTGTTAGACAAATTAAAGCAGTAGTCTCTAAAACTGGGTGCAGCCCTGGGTGCCTGCCATTATCTGGCCTATAGGCAGGTTGCCTACTGTTAGTTAAATTGCTGTCCTGGCCAAGAGAGAGAGAGTTAAATGTTGTGCTGCCATTTCACGGGTCTTCTTTTGGTGGGCTTTCTGGGTTCGACCCACTGGTCCTGTAGCATTATAAAAAGAACATGGGTCTGGATACTGACAGTCACTAGCTTTCTCTTCTTCACCCATCAGTCCTTGCCATAGGCCTGTGTCTTGGAGCCTTCAGCATGTAGGGTGACATCTGGTATTAGTAGTCTGCCCTGAAGACTCCAGTTCTGGGGATTCATTACTATGGACTTTCCTTGTTATGGACTTCACCCATGCAGGTATGTGGGGCAACCAAGCCTGAGTTACAGACTAGGTTAGGGAAAGACTGCTGTCTTTTTTTGTTGACTGTACCATTGCAGCGACTTCAGTAAAGTGTTGAAAACCTGCCATGCCTGGTCTGACGTTATTATAGGAGATTATGCAGGGCATTTTTTCTTAGAGAATAGGTGCAGGAACTCCCCACCTTTTGAGTCACCCCTTGTCTCTGCCCCCTAATCACCTCCAAGTACCGTCCCTTGGTTCCACCTCCTACTCACCTCCCAGTACCACCGCTTTTAGAGAATACAGAACCCAGTAACTGTTAGAAGCCTTCCTTAATTCAATATCTGCTTATTAACATTACTAACATATGTATGAAAGTATACACACACACACTATATTGCCAAAAGTATTCGGACGCCTGTCTTTATACGCACATGAATTTTAATGGCTTCCCAGCCTTAGTCTGTAGGGTTCAATGCTGAGTTGTCCCACCCTTTGCAGCTATAACAGCTTCAACTCTTCTGTCCAAAAGGTTTAGGAGTGTGTCTATGGGAATGTTTGACCATTCTTCCAGAAGCGCATTTGTGAGGTCAGACACTGATGTCGGACGAGAAGGCCTGGATCGCAATCTGAGCTCTAATTCATCCCAAAGGTGTTCTATCGGGTTGAGGTCAGGACTGGTCTATGCAGGTCAGTCAAGTCCCTCCACCCCAAACTCACTCATCCATGTCTTTATGGACCTTCTTTGTGCACTGGGGGGCAGTCATGTTGGAACAAGAAGGGTTTATCCCCAAACTGTTCCCACAAAGTTGGAGCATAAAATTGTCCAATAAAATGACACCTTAAGAGTTCCCTTTACTGGAACTAAGGGACCAAGCCCAACCCCTGAAAATAACCCCACACCATAATCCCCCCTCTACCAAACTTTACACTTGGCACAGTGCAGTCAGGCAAGTACCATTCTCTTGGCAACCGCCAAACCCAAACATGTCCATCGGATTGCCAGACAGAAAAGTGTGATTCGTCACTCCAGCGGACATGTCTCCACTGCTCTAGAGTCCAGTGGTGGTGTGCTTTACACCACTGCATCCAACGCTTTTCATTTTACTGTAAGGCTTGGATGTAACTGCTCAGCCATTAAAACCCATTCCATAAAGCTCTCTACACATTGTTGTTGTGCTAATCTTAAGGCCACACGAAGTTTTGGAGGTCTTTAGCTATTGACTCCTCATACAGTTGGTGACTTCTGCATACTGTGCGCTTCAGCATGCACTGACCCCACTCTGTCATTTTACGTGGCCTACCACTTTGTGGATGAGTTGCTGTTGTTCCCAGTTGCTTCCACTTTGTTATAATACCACTAACAGTTGACTGTGGAATATTTAGTAGCAAGGATATTTCATGGATGGACTTATTGCACAGGTAGCAACCTATCACAGTACCACGCTTGAGTTCACTGAGCTCCTGAGAGTGATCCATTCTTTCACAAATGTTTGTAGAAACAGTCTGCATGTCTAGATGCTTGATTTTATACACCTGTGGCCACGGAAATGGAACACCTGAGTGGGGGTCATTCAATAGTATCAATTCCTTGATCCTCCAGGAACTGCCTGCATACTCTCACCATATGAGGCCTGGCATTGTCGTACACCAGGAGGAACCCAGGACCTACTGCACCAGCGTAGGCATACCTAATGGCAGTCAGGGTGCCATTGTCTAGCCCAGGGGTCTGCAACCTTTAAGACATAAAGAGCCACTTGGACCCGTTTCCGAGAGGGAAAAAAAGACTGGGAGCCGCAAAACCATTGCAACATTTAAAACAAATCCGACACTGCATATATTGCAAAAAGCGCTCTGGTCATGAAGGGGGTTTAAGGGCCCAGTAAGCAAAGGGTTAATCAGGGCCACAGTGTATCGTCATAATCACAATCATAGCCTTAGGTCAGTGGTGGGCAACCTTTTTTTTCAACTGAGCCAAATCTTGCCAAAACCATGATTGAAATTTATTTTGAGAGCCACATTTTTAAAACTGAAAATACATCCCCCATATAGTAATTCATCCCCCATAGTAATTCATCCCCCATATAGTAATTCATCCCCCATATAGTAATTCATTCCCCATAGTAATTCATCCCCCATATAGTAATTCATCCCCCATATAGTAATTCATCCCCCATAGTAATCCCCCATCATTCCCCCTATAGTAATTCATTCCCCATATTGTGTCAATTCACTTACCTTTGTTCCGCGCGTTCCTCTCGCCGTGTTCCCGCGCCGTTCCGGTCTTCAGGGCGGACTGTGAGAGGAGAGGAGTTCGTCACGCTGCCCCGCCTACATCCTGACAGCCAATGTTTGCCCAAACGTTTGGGGTGGCAGCCCGAGAGGAGGGAGGAGAGCGGGCGCCCGGCACACAGAAGAGCCACATTAAAATGTGTAAATAGCCGCGGCTTGCCGACCACTGAGCTACGGCAACCCTATTGCCTGTCACCTGGTGGGCAGTGTGCTCCGGAGCCGCAGCAAAGGTGAAAAAGATCCGCGGGTTGCCGACACCCGGTCTAGCCTGTAGAGGTCTGTGCGTCCCTCCATGGATATGTCTCCCCAGATCCACCACCAAAACAGTCATGCTGACCAATGTTACAGGCAGCATAACGTTCTCCGCAGCTTTTTCAGACCCTTTTACGTCTGTCACATGTGCTCAGAGTGAACCTGCTTTCATCTGTAAAAAGCACATGATGCCAGTGCTGGACCTACCAATTCTGGTGTTCAATGGCAAATGCCAATCAAGCTCTATGTGCTGGGCAGTGAGCAGAGGGCCCACTAGAGGGCATTCGGTCCTCAGGCCACCCTCATGAATTCTGTTTCTGATTGTTTAGTCAGAGACATTCACACCAGTGGCCTGCTGGAGGTCCTTTTGTAGGGCTCTGGCAGTGCTCATCCTGTTCCTCCTTGCGCAAAGAAGCAGATACCGGTCCTCCTGATGGGTTAAGGACTTTCTACGGCCCTATCCAACTCTCCTAGAGTAACTGCCTGTCTCCTGGAATCTCCTCCATGCTCTGGAGACTGTGCTGGGAGACACAGCAAACCTTCATGTAATGACACGTATTGATGTGCCATCTTGGAGGAGTAGGACTGCCTGTGTAACCTCTGTAGGGTCCAGGTATTGCCTCATGCTACCAGTAGTGACACTGACCCTAGCCAAATGCAAAACTAGTGAAAAACAGTCAGAAAAGATGAGTAGGGAAACAAATGTCAGTGGCCTTCACCTGTAAAACCATTACTATTTTGGGGCTCATCTCATTGCTGCCCATCTAGTGCACCTGTTCTTAATTTCATTAACACCAAAGCAGCTGAAACTGATTAACAACTCCCTCTGTTACTTAACTGACCAGATCAATATCCCAGGAGATGAATTGACTTGATGCTATACTCTGATTAAAAGTGTTCCTTTCATTTGTTTTGAGCAGTGTATAAGTCTCTATACAGCAAAGATTTCTTCAAGGAGAGCTCTCCAGCCCTCTTGGTGTACCACCCCAGGCCCCAGATGAATCCTCTTCTCATTCCACTGCCTGAGGGAATCCCTGGGCAAAGGGGACCCAGAATCTGTTTCTTTAAATCAAACAGTCCCAGTTGGGCCAGTCAGATTTCCCACCCAAATGCCCTTTCCCCTTATCCGTCTCAGGGGGTGTAGGACTACTCAATCTTCCACCGCTGCAAGCTTGTTGGGTTGGTGGCTGCCTTCAGGCCTTCCACTGGGCTTGATCTTTCCCTGCTGCACAGGTGGTCCTCTCTCAGGGGACTACTGAGGTTGAGAGACATTCCTTTCAGATCTAGCCTGGAGGTGGGCCCTTTACCACTGAACCACCTCCCAGGCTCCTGCATCCCAGCCTCTCACTCCATCTTCCACCCAAACTCTCCTACTGTTGAGCAGGCTCATTCATACTTAAAGGCTGATTGGCTAGAGTCCGCTGAGTATGCAGATCAGCTCCTCCTCACCCCCACCCACTGCCTTCTAGCAACTTCTCAAGTATCTAGAGCAGGGGAAGGTATCAGGGAACTGATCTGCAGAGCCCTCAGCCCTGACCTAAATTGACTCACACCCAGGCTGCTACTCAACCTCTAGTAAAAAAACTAGTTAGCTCCCCCTTGCTATCTAGAGGGGCACTACATTATAATTCTCTACATTGCCAGAACAAACCATCAACAGGGGTTACCCTGGTAATGTTCCAGTACCAAATACATTTCAGTCTGTCCCTCTGCAGATAGGAGAGGGCTAGAATGCATGGGACTTGCCAACAGGTCACCCATTAGATCCACTTCATCTTCTGGCCATAAACTATATAATGGAAGAGTGCACAAAAAAAAACTGAGTAGGCCTGATTCCTATTTTCATTCAAAATCTGAAAATATGATCCATGCCTACTGACTCTTGGCTGGACTATGACAGTGCCTTTTAAATCAGATTTACAGGGATATTAAAGGATCTTTTTTCATATAAAAAAACAAACATTTTATACTTGCCTGCTCTGTGAAGTGGTTTTACACAAAGCAGACCTGATCCTGCTCCTTTGAAGTCTCCCACCATTGCTCCTGGCTCCTCCTGTCTTTGAATACCTCCCTAGCAAGCTGCTTACTAGGGGGTTTACCTGTGTGAGTTTGATCCGAGCCACACTGTGTGTGTCTATTGCAGCTCAACCCCACACCCTGCTCTCTCATCCATGGATTTGATTGACAAGAGCCAATGGCTGTCACTGCTCTCACTGAGTCCAGTGAGGAGGGAGAGAGCAGCTGTACTGGATCGAGATTGAGCTCAGGTAAGTATTTGGGATGGAAGGGAGGGGGCATCAGCGGTATTGAGCTGCACCTAATATGTTTTGTGAATCAATACAAAGAATGCATTAAGGTATAAAATTAACCTTTATGCATTACAACCATTTTAAATCCTTAATGTGCTAACATTTCTTTTACTTAAAAAGGACTACACATTTTATGATAATCTAAAAGAAGCTGAGATCTGTTTGTTTTTTGGGTTACACCGCACAGAAAAAAGCTACAAATCTCCTTTCCTGCCAGTAAGGCCAGCTGAAGCTGACTGAAGGACTCCGATTCCTTTCACCTCAGCCATATACCCTGTGCGTCAGTCTGTTCCTATATTTAGATGAACACGGATAAAAACCAATACTGTATTATGGATGTTCGTGTTTTGGCACACATGCCTGGAATGAAAATAATTCAATGTAGTAGAACACTACAAAATCAAATTTGCATTGTGTGTCCCACAGCTAGTTTACATGATAAAATGAATCTCTCAGCTGTGGATTAACATAGATTTTACATGTTCAAGGCGAATATTGTTCTGCAAATCACTTCTTCATTGTGGGTGACTGTGGCATAGCTAGGTGTAGTGCAATTTTTTTTTTTTTTTTTTCAAATCAATCTTTGGGCTAAAATGAAATCCCCTTTCACTCTTTTTACCCATTGAGACTTTTTTTGTATAGCCTAAAAATACATTGAATGAACTGAACATTTCTTTTAAATTATATTATTAAAATACCATTTCTTTAGCATGAAAGGGAATAGCACATCTTATGTGGAATACTTAATAGAAGTAAATTATTTAACAAGTCAATTTAAAGTTAGGGACCTTAGATTGTACACCCCTTGAGGGTTAGGGACTGATGTGAATGTACAATATATATGTAAAGCGCTGCATAAATTGACAGCGCTATATAAGCATCTGTAATAAATAAATAAATATATATATAAAATAAATCAAATTCTTTTGAGCAAGGGAAAAGTATTTACTGTATATGTACCTAGACAGCTGGAGTCTGAACATGGTATTAGTCTTTTTGAATTTGCATATATGCCTCATTTTAATTCACAACTATACTGGGGGAAAAAAAATCGCACACTTCCTATCCAAACATGATGAAATTATGCATAATTGCCAAATAGGCAATACTACATTCTCTGACATTGAGAAAATTAGAGAAGATTTGAGAGTTCAAAGTAAAGGGTCACTCTTCTCAAAAGTGATATTCTGGTTACAAGTGGATCCTGTTGGATTGAATCAGCCACTGGTTTCTTATAAGGGGCGTCACCAGTGGGGTGCTGTACGTCTGAAATAGCACTCACAAAATTATTGCTAGCACCCCAATATCACCCCAATCTCTGCGCACATAGAGATCATTCTTTTATGCCGGCTGCCTCTGCAGTGCCATCTCATGCTGACCAGATACATTACATACCAGATACCAGATACATTACATGCCCTAAACCCTGCCCTAAACTTGCTGAAGTTTCCTGAGCTGGTAGCTACTTTAGGATCCACCTACAGTCAAGCAGTGCCATCAGCTATGTGGATCCCCTGAATGCAGAAACAGGACATGGGGAGCAATAGTGCACAGCTTACCAAGTTTGAGGTGGGGTTGCAGAGGTGACCATTGGAAGTGATGGGGGAGAGCAGAGGTGACCAGGGGAAGTGAGGGAGGATTGCAGAAATGATGCGTGGA